ATGACGGATTTACTTCATGACTTTATTCACTGTTACTGGTGTCCTATGACGGATTTACTTCATGACTTTATTCACTGTTACTGGTGTCCTATGACGGATTTACTTCATGACTTTATTCACTGTTACTGGTGTCCTATGACGGATTTACTTCATGACTTTATTCACTGTTGCTGGTGTATTATGACGGATTAACTTCATGACTTTATTCACTGTTACTGGTGTCCTATGACGGATTTACTTCATGACCTTTTTCACTGTTACTGGTGTCCTATGATGGATTTACTTCAAGACATTATTGTAACTGGTTTTTCTGTGACAGGTTATGATTTCCACGTAATTGTGTTTCGTGAACTTGTATGGTTTTCTTACTCACGACATCATTCAATCGTAATATTTCATCATTGGATTAAATTCCAGTCCAACTCATTTCAGAGGTCTAGGACCGTAACACGTGCTGCTTACAGCTCCCGTAATGTCATTTATATGTTTTTTGTTGCTTTCAAATCACTTGTTTTCATTTCCGGCCCTCCGAAGTGACTGTCATCTCTTTGGTTTTCTAATTTGGAAATGTACGGTTGGAACTTCTTTCCTGCATCCTACACGTACCAACTCTGTCTTGTGCTATACGGTTGAAGAACTCACACGCAGCGAGCGACTAGGGAACAGCTAATATGAGTGAAAGGTTTAAACGTATTTCTGGCGTTTGTCGTCTTTGAGCACGAGGCAATTCCTTGTGCTTTTCCGTCGGGCATGCGAGAGTGGTGGTGGTGGTGGTGGTGGGAGGGGAAGTGGAGGGCACGCAAGTTCTATTAAATCTACTGGATGAAGAGACTAAAAGAGAGCGGACCCTAAATCTGGTCTTCTTTATTTTCTTAAATTTCCACGTGACTCTAGTAAAGGATTATATTTCGTGTCAACTCACCGTTAGGTCGTGATAGATTTTCTGCTTGATATAATAATAATAAGATAATAAACTGGAACCTGACTAGAATAATGAAAAAGGAATTACCATCAGTTGAATAGTACTAAACACAAGCTGAAACTAAACTCCAACAATAAAATGAAATTAACGTTCACCTGGAAAATGAGATCATAACCGCAAAATTGCATAGAATATAATAAAAGTTTATCAGACCTTGGAGTTTTAGATGTAATCTTTACATAATATTTGTTCGTAATTTTAGTATTACCATTAGAAACTTTTCAAACTAACGTAATGCACTGATTTGTTTTTCGAATGTTACACATACTCGCGAACGACAGGAGTATATGTCCAAAGATTTCTCTCTCTCTGTGTCCCTTTTTGTTTTTTACTTCCAATAGTTTTTAAAGTTTTACTAGACAAAAATACTCATACACAAAAGTAAAAGTTTTGCTTGGCAGCATTTTGAATCAAAACAAAATCGTTTAAGCCGTTTTTGGTTTTGTTTTTCGTCCGTGAAGTAGTGTTTTAGGACGACTACTGTTTACGTTATCTTATCCCAAACAGTAAATTACGGTTCAGTTCAAAGTCTATTGTCTTTTATTGAAGTTTAGACTTATTGTTTCCTAGCAAGTTCCCGAAGTTTGAAATGTTCTTTATTCGGCTCTCTCTCTATATATATACACACTATCTCATTAAGTCGGTTAAGTTATTTCACGTTGTTTTTGCTATTCTACTTGTACTATCGTATGTTGTCTACAGTGAATCTTTTAATCAGAATATGCGAATTTAAATGTAAATAGAAAAGAT